ATTTTTGTCTCCCCACAATAGATGAGAGCTGTTTTCCTTATTATTTTCTAAATGCAACGTCATTATCTTAAGCAGGGAAAAAAAAAAAGTTAAAAGAGCTACATTAGAAGATACAGCTTTTAAAATAATTTTAAGGCATCTGGCCTTATTTAAACCATCAAATTTAAATTCAGTTCCTTCAGGGATGGCTCTGTTGCTTTGCGCTGGCTCCATGCCCTCCGAATAAAGCCCTGGATTTAATGCATGCCACCACGTTTCACTAGCTGTACTGCTGCTCCGTACGATATATAGTAGAGGTATAAAAAGCCTAACCTCGGACAAGATGATTCACTTAGGCAAGAAAAAAACAAAAGTGTAATAGTATAAGTTTCAACTAGAGGTTAGACTTGTGACAAATGTCACTATCTATTTATTCTTAAATTATTAGTGGAAGTGTTTATGTACTATGAAACATTCTGTATGAGCTAGACAGGAAACTATAAAATATTTTATGGGATCTACACATGGCTGATGGCAGAATGTTAATACAATGCTAAGGTTCATCTAAAATCAAGAAGTGCCAGAAAACACTTTTTTAAAAAAAAAAAAAAATTAGTGCAATGCTCATTTGACAAAGAGAACTGTATTCTGAAAACTTAGGGAGGCCAAATCGTGTAACATCGGGAGCCTCTCCAGGGAACTGTGGAGCACTCGCAGCTTCTCCCGCCTTCAAGCTGACGGTAAAAGCCCTTGAAAGGTGCCGAAAAAAGCCTAGCGAAGGGCAGGTCGGTCGCTATGGGGAATCAGACGGTCCCCAGTTAAAAATCTGCTTTGTGCTCCAGGACCTCCTTTACCTCTAACGATCTGGAGTTGAATTAATAGTCCTGTTTTACAGCTGGCTAGACTGAAAAGCGAGGTAGTATATCCCCGCAGCAGGTTAGACAGCGAATCTTGAGCAAAACTCCTGCTCCCTTCATCGTTACGCCACCTTGTTCCTACTGAAACTAGTCCGGTTTCCACTTGCTCAAGTCACTGCGAGCAGGTTAAACAGTCAGCATTAACTGATTCAGCTGTTATCAAATCTGTAATAAGAATCAAAAATATTCACCAGATGGCATTACACAAACACCGAGCTGTTAGTACCCATTAAGTCTCACTTTTATGCACACTATAAAGAAAAAAGTTGAAGATAAAATGTATAGTACCATCTTAAATGCGCATCTCTGCTTCTACAGCTTTGAAAATGGTGCTAAGACATATTGCACATGCAGCATGAGCCCCATTCGTCTCATTTAGGTTTTAAACAGAATTAAGGAAAGAAAACTGTGAAGATGAGAAAAAGGTATTACTTCCCAATGTAAGAATAACTGGATTAGTCCAAGATAGGGAGACATAACCTACCTTGTTTTACTCTAAATTCAGCTCACCGACTTATGTAGAGAAGTGAAAGGCTATTATATGGGTTTACTGGGCAAACCCAGATTTTATAAATAACTGCCTGTCAGACTGTTCAAGATAGACAAACACACAGTAGACCAACAAAAACATGATCTGTCATATTTGTGAGAGAAATGTATGTTGAGTCTTCATTCTCTGGGACTTTAAGTAGACCAGTAAAAAATAAGTGCCAGTATTTTTCCTGCTTATGCATATTTTAAAATGTAAAATCTGGGAGAGATACAGCTACGGAAGGAATTTTGATTCCAGTACCCAGTGCCTGAAATGGTTTCTTCTGTCTGTATGCCTGCAGATCGAAACCAAATACAATAAATGCTGGTGTCCTTTTAAAAAGTCTGGATGTTTACAGCAAGCATATAATTTTCCATGATTAAGGACGCCAACAAAAATAGGAATGATGATAAAAAGAAAAGTTTAATGATACATTTCAACAAGCGCAGATGGAACATCAGGAAACTTTCCCCCCCCCCCGTTTAATATACTGCATTGTACACATTACTTCTAGTCCTTTACACATAGATTAATTCCAGAAAACAGAACTGTGAGCAGGTAAAAGAAAAAAACAATTTATGAATGGCAGTAACGTTTTACATACAAAGTTCACATTTACAATATTTTGGTTACAAGGAAAAGAGACATTTTTCTGATCACTGAAAAAAAAAAAATATATATATATAGTGAAGTTTTCACAAGCAGGTCCAAGAAAGCAGGGCAACCAAACTGCTTATAAATGACTTCAATAGCATATAGGAGAAGTGGGAGTAAAAGTTAAGACCTCACATACTAAGCACAAAGGAGGAGGATGGCTGCACTATACAAAAGTACTATTTTGTTGATCTCCTCTGGATCCCTCGAGTGCTCTGTCTTAATTTGTGGTTTAAGTCAGATTCTAAGCCTGCACTAAGAGCTGCTAAAGGGGACCCCTGGGGCAGCGGGATGCCACAGGGACACAGGCAGTAAATGCCGGTAGATCCTGATGAAGGGCTGAAGCATAAGCCCTTTTCTCTGGTCAAGCATCGTCGTGGTTAGCTCTATATTTGTACAGTTTTTATGGGAAGAAATGAATGTGTTTGTGAGGAAAGCGAAGGCTGGAGGAGCAGGGAACGGGCAGAACCATAGAGGGAGGGTCTGAGATTTACAAAAATCTGAAAACAAACAAAGCGAAATAAAATATCAAAAGGCAAAAAGGAGCCCATTTCTCCTCCGACCAAAGTCAAAGGCAGCGCTGCCTTTTGTCAACAACAGAGACAACATCTGTTTCCTGCACCAATCATTTAAGCAAGGATATAACTTTAAGCCTTTGACTAAAGCCACTGAGATAGACAGGGCTATTCAGATATTTAAGGACACGCTTTGTGAACAGGGGCCCAATTCAGCGCCAAATTACTGCACTCTTCTTGACTTGGGAGGGAGATGGCTCGGGCCCTCGGGGAGGAACGGAATGAAAACAGAGATGTCAGGATTAAGAATTTGGGGCTAAGCATTTAGCCTATCCTTGGGCCTGCAAAAAGAGTCTTTACCTGACAAAGTATCATTTATCTGAGCTTTTCTCTGAAAAAAAAACATGTTGGATCAGAACTTGCTACCAAGCCATCATCAAAAAGCCCCTTACTGGATCAGACCGGGTTATGCTGTTCTAACCCTATCTAAAAATAACTCGAGAGAAATCGATGGAAAACAAGGCTGTTTTTATCTTTAAAAAAAAAAAAAAATCACAGGGAAAGACTATACACCCCATTCCATCTTTGGCCTCTTTCTACCCCCCATCCTGCCGTACAAGACACCTCTACCGAAACAGACTTCCACGCACTTGAGCAGAAACGACACCGCATTTGAGCAACAGGCTGACAGCAGCAAGTCCACGGCAACTTCCAAAACTGTGTGATCTGCATTCTTGTCCACCTACACGCTATCCCAAACATCCTGCCATTAATTAGCTAAACGGTCCAGCTAGTAAACAAGAATAACGATTGAGGGGGCTGGAAAAAGAGACAGAGGCAGCCAGCAGATAGTCACAACAAACCAGCCCACTCGCTGGTACGCGCGGAGACGTTAGGGCTTGTGTTTTTTTTCCTTCCACGGAGGGGAAAAGAAAAATCACCTTAATATAACACTGTCTTTCCTGTTGCTGCGGCCACATCCATATTAGCAGGCTAGAAAAGTCATCCCATTTCTGCGGTAGGCACTCTGTCAAAGAAAAAGAAAATCTGTAATGAATTATCACGTCAACTTAAACGAGGGAAGAAGGCAGAGAGAAAGGCAAGGCTTTCTTCCTGTTTTGTCGACTCTTCTGGCTGCAATCTAATAGTGTGCTTAATCTGAACATTTCTGGTGGGGAAGCTATAAGCAACCGCTCTGTCTATTAAAAAAATCAGTGCGGTTAACAAGTGGTTAGTGACTCTATTTCAGGAGAGCAAGCGATATGCAAAAATGTAACGTCCTATTTTGTTAATTGCCTGCAAAATAGATGAGGCCAAAAATACACTATTATGCTGAATCTGTTTGGCCTTTATAAGCATGTGTTCTCGATTCACTTTGCTCGAGAATCGCTTCTAACCTAAATATCTTAATAGTCTATAAATTACTGAATCATTACAGGTTTTCCAAACCTAATTTATAGCCTGGGCCAAAAGCTGTGTAAACAGACACTGGTATAACTCCCTGCCCCCCTCCCCAAACAAATTAATCTTAAAGAAGCACCAGTCAGTGCAAAATAATTTGATATGCTGTATATTGTAACCTGGGATCAAGTATTTTCGATGATAAAGCAACAGAAGAGTTAAATAGTATTTGAGAAAAGAATTTTACAAGATAACTGTGACGTTGTCTCACTAAAATAACTTTCATGCATTTTTTAATGTCTCTTTCTGAATCAATATAGGAAGCTATGCCTTTTTTTTTT